TTCACGCCCATTCTTAAAAGCCAAACACCTGACTGTGTCTGTGATTTCTTTCCTTCCTCACACCCTCCTTTGCAGGGATACCCAACAACCTCGTTTCTTGAACGCCATGGGCACTGCCTAAGCCACCACACCTTCGACATGCATTTCCAGTTCAGCCTGCACGTACTAGCCTCAATGTGTTCACATTTCCTCAGAGCCCAGCATCCCGCCTCATACTACAGCGTGTTCATTCAGATACAAAGATGCATGGAGCAGCATCAGGATTTATGGGAGGTTCTGGGGATGAATAGAAAGATGAATAAAACATTGTCATGCGCTCAAAGAACTTGGGCCGAGCGAGGGACCGACATACCAACAATAGTTACAAGCCGGTTGGCTTTGGTGGAGAAAGGGGGGGCATGCTTGTGAAGCCAGCCTCAGATTGGTGACCGCTTGTCATGGACCCACAGTCCACAAATTCTCCAGCAAACATGAGTGCTTAGAGAGTAAGCGAGTACATGGATGCATGCATCAGGCTGGCTGTTGGAGCGCCTGCTGGGGCTGAGGTCAGATGGAGAGTACACATTCTGTCCAAAGTCACTCAAGGTCTCCTTTTTCAGATGCCATGCCTGCAAAATAAAATCTACCTGCAGGCCTCATTGGGTTCAGGCCGCCAGTGTATAATATTGACACATCATTTAATGTTTAGTACATGTAAATCCTTGTTCTAGGCACTTTACCTGTGTTAATTCATGTACTCCTCACGACCGTTGAGATTGATATCACGATTTTGCCCATTTTATAAACGGACCGACTGAGGCACTGGAGAGATCCTGTCCCTTGCTGAGATTTTTTTTTTTTTTTGAGAGTGCATAAAATTCTTTATTTAGAACAATAAAGTATATGTATATATAATGTAATTTCAAATTCAACCTGTATAAAAAGGGGTCAGGACATATACCTAGTTTAAAAAGTACACATATAATATATACACATACACATCACATTTTACAACCTTTTTTATTTAATTACACTTCAGTCATAATGAACTAGAATAGTGTTGACATACATTTACATTACAATATGCAAACTCCAATCTATAGCTGAACTAGCAGTATATCTATGCATCCATTTAAACGTCTGAATACTTTTCAAGTCCATCAATTTAAAAAATAATGACAAGTGGACACTATAATCACACATTAATCCTTAGAATATAGAATAGGATATTCTTATTGAAAATTCTTGAGTCTTATAACTGAGAAATCAAGTAATTGAAAATACTATGGTTTTTAGGTTAAATAATTATCTTAATTTTATTTTTACAAATAACATCATAAGGATGTAGTTGGAGATGGCAGTTATAAATTTACAGTGCTTAGGAAACATTTTAGGATTATGAATCCTAAAACAATTTAGGATCCTGTCCCTTGCTGAGGTTGCACAGCTAGTCGGGTGGTGGAGTTGACACCAGCCAGTCTCCAGAGCCCACACCCTTAAAAGAAGTGAAGGCACTCTACTGCTCTGTATCTGAACTTTTAGCATTTCTTTATTCAGCTTATACAAATGAGTTACATAGTTAATGTTTTAGTGTGCCAAATATTCTTCCATTTTGTTGAACAAACTCTTTTATCTGGCGTATACAGTTTTGATGGAAAAATTCATGTCCATCTATCCATTGTTTCATAAATATAATCACATTTCCCTGCTTATCACCATCTTTCTGATCTGAAGGATCCTAATATTGTGTTCCTCAGATGAGAAAGCAGGCCCAGGAAGGGTCTGGTGCTTAATGGATTCCCTCTCTTCAACTCCTTGCCCTCCTTCTGACCCACTGCAAATACCCTTCCCAAGTCTGGGGATTAGTGCTTTCTTCTCAGTCCTCCTTACAGGTACCAACAGGATAATGCTTTCTTTTCAATAACTGCCTGCGTAATGTTTACAACTCTGTGGATCTTTCTGGACAAGGCAATCGGTTATTAGGCCAGTGTCTTCAGAGAAATCCTATTTATGTGAGCTAAAACAAATCCAAGGGCACTCGGGGATTTGGTGAAACGGGCAAAATATAAACTCCCAACTCTTTGATCTTCATTCAAAATGTTTCACTGGACCAGGGGACGTGGCCACATTTTATTCACAGACTTTTCTGAGAACTCTGGACATTACATTCTGTTTTTACTTACGTTAAAGCCAAAATATTAGGAGTCTTGCCATAGGCTATCCATTTTGCCTCCTGGCTTTTGTTCCTACTGCACCCTCAGCCAGGTCCTCTCTACATCTACATCCCCTCCCCAAACTCTGGCTCCTACCCAACCTTCCTGACACTCTTCTCATGCCACATCCCCTGACCTCCCAAGTGGTGACGTGTCTCCCCTGTATATATCCCATGCCCGGCACTTAGTATCTATTTTAGTTGCCTATTTATTTCTCTCTCACCTAATTTGTAGTTGGAACTATACTTTTTAACCTTATTTGTACCTAAAATACATACAGTCATACTTACTTCTGAAAAAAGTTGTGCCCTTGAGCTTTTAAAGTTGGCAGTTTATTTTACAATCTCAAGAATGGTAAAAATACCTGGGTTGTGGGCTTTGGCGTTGAACGCATGTGGGTTTGGCATCCAACTCCAGTTCTAACGGCTACGTGACCTTGAATTTAACATCTTGAGGCGGTTTTATCCTTTGGAAAGTAAAGACTTCCTTCTCTGTGACGATTAATGCATAAGGGTGCAGAGCTGTCACCTGCCCAAATTCATGCTCAGCTGAGTGTCAGCAGCTATTGTGCTTCTCAAGAGGAATTTAATTTTGTGAAAAGGAGACACTGAATCAAAAAGAGAGGAAGAATCCTGCCAGTTGAGTAGGAATTACTCAATACGTATTTTATGATATGCACTTTACCTACATTGAGATTAATCTGTAATTTATATCCAACATGTTACCTCTTGCTCTCCACCTATTCAATATCGAAATACATCTTAAATGGTCTGAAAATGTATCAGACTCCTTTAAAATGCTCAAATAAGAAGAAATTCAAAAAATGAAAGAGAATGTTGGCACCATCTAAGGGAGTGTCTTTTCTGCTGTGAAGTTAATAGTACAGTAAATGTCACTGAGTAAGACCCCATTTTAATCTCTAGAAGACTGGAAACCTCGGTTCATCCAAATTTCTAAGCATCAAATTTAGAACGGCTTAGAGAGTATTTTGAAATTATTTACTTAATAGTAAATTGGTTTCTGAGCCAGTAAAGAATCCAGTAATCCACTTCTTGTTTAAACCCTTCTTTTTAAGACCCTTAGACAGGAACCCAAATGCTTAGTAGCTGATTGCTGCCAGATTTAACCTGGGAAGATGCACAGACGATGTTTCCTGACAAAGAATGTCTCTAATGAACTCAACTCAGAATCCCAGGAGGAAATGTGTCCCATTTCCTTGTACTTGCCTCTTTTAGATAAGCTAAAAGGCCCTCTAAAGCCACAGAATTAAACAAGAGGATATTCTTTCGGCATCAGTATCAACCGAGACTATATTAACATATACAAGCACAATGCACGTTCACATGGGTATACATTTATTAATCTCTCATTTCTCTACTTGCTCTAAATCAGAAGCCATTCTAGGTGCTGCGGGACCCCAAGATGCATAAAACAGTGCAGTTTTGCCCTCAAGCAGCTCCCAGTTTGAGTTTTATTTGCAACCATGTAGTCTTTTAAGCTATCGCTAGTTCACCATTGACGTGGGCACTAATTCAAACCAAAGTAATTAGGAGAGAGGAGGTGGGGGGACAGAACACCAGAGGCGTGAGTGGGCAGCAGACAGGACCACTGAGAGGGCAGAAGGAAACGGGCATAATCCTGGTCTTGGGAGTCAGACTCGGAGTGCAGATCTGCCAACGACGAGCAGCAGTGCACACAGGTGTGGTTTTTGCCGTTAGTATGTATTCGATGCTTGAAAGTTTTTAATTACTAAAACAATCCTTATTTCTTTTTAAAATATCAGATGAGGACACTGATGAAAGTATAGAGCAGAGCTTATCCCTGGGAAGCTCAACTAGTATACTAGTTTTTTAAAAATGTAGTATTTCCCCCCCTTTTTTAAAGGTGTTATTTGAGAGAGTGAGCGAGCATGCGCGGGGGAGGGGCAGAGGCCGAGGGAGAAGCAGACTCTGCTGAGCAGGGAGCCCCACGTGGGACTCGATCCCAGGACCCTGAGATCATGACCTGAGCTGAAGGCCGACGCTTAACCGACTGAGCCACCCAGGCGCCCTATAGTAACCCTCAATATGATTTCGGTAATATACTTTACATTAGTACACATTTTGTTAATACAGTTTGGGTCGTGATCAGGATAATGCTAAAGGACAGAGAGTAAAGCAGCGGAGTTAACAAAACAAAAGCTTTCAAGTCAGCCAGACCTAAAGTCAAATTAGGGCTCTAGCTCTGGACAGCCAGCTAGCTTACCTTAAGGAAGTTATTTTCTCATCATGGTTAAATTGTCAGAGTTGTAAAGGTGAAATGTTTGGGATACGAAGCCCTCACCATAGTGACTGACAGTCTTCAGTATTAACTTCATTCTCCGTGACCCTAAGGAAAGGCACTTCCTAGCTGGACCGGCCCCTCGAGTTGTGGCTGCTCCACGAGCACGTGGGGGTCACCTGAGCTCCCCACCTGGTCTCCAAGGGTGGGGGGGGAAGGGAGGAGACGGTCCCTCTCCCTGCCCCCTGGTGGCTGAAGCTCGGCCTGCAGGCTCCGTGCAGCTGAAACCACAGTCCCTTGGGGGCTCTGACCTGACAGAGAGCACAGCACACTGGGTCCGGGCTGCCGGAGACCACGGGAGTGCCTGTGGCTCACTCTGAGCAACGTTGCGGCGCCCTCACCCCCCAGCAATGTCTCATCGATTCTGTGAGCCACGCACACCCAGCCTAAAAATCCGCTTTCTCCTCAAGTAAATAGTCAGCTCCTGTTTTCTGTGAACAAGAACCCTAACCAGTATACTCTTGTAAAACTAATAAAAGTAAAGAGCAGTGCCATAAGATTATTTTAATAACCTTTTCTCCATGACTGAATATACAATGATAATGGAAGTAACGTATTCTTCCGCTGTAAAGATGGGTGGAATATGTCAAAATCCACCTGTTGAATTTTCTTTAAGTAGTCCTCCAGAGCAACCTGGAAAAGGAGAATAATGGTCATGAGGTCACAGAATGATTAAGGTTTTTAGAGAAACTAAAGAAAACTTCTAAGTATTAAGGCTATTTTAGTTTCCCTGAGATGGTCTTCTACGTACTAAGAATTTAAATGAGAATTTTAAAAGGGAGAAAGAAAATAAAGACATCTAAGAAGTTTCTATTAGACCAGTAAAACAGCATCAAAGAGCTAGTACTAGAAATTTCAAGTCAATTCTGATCATAACTTTTAGAACGTTAATTTATTACAATCTGTTTTACACAAAATGTGTAAAAAATTAGAGAAATTATTGTTTGTCAGGTATTATTACTATATTCTGTAGAAAACAGAAGAGGTGTTTCCATCAAGGACACTGAACACCACCACCACCTCCCCCTGTACAAATGCATTGTGCCCTGAGGACGAGCTTAAGTTGTTTGTTAAAAAAAAATTATTTTGTGGAAAAGTTTAATGGGTCTCCATGTTCTTGTTAGAAAACAATTTGCAACCTGGGAGAACAACCATAGGTCCCTATAAATGTCACCCCACGCTTCCCCCATCACACAAAACTTGATTAAGCTTTCGTGGGGATTGGGGAGTAGGATGGAAAACAGTGGCAATAGACCATGCTCTTTATTTTATGGTTTTCAGTTATTTTTATTAATTTGTACATTTTAAGTTTATTGCAATAACTTGATTAAACAGAGAAGCCACTTAGTTTTGCACTGCACAATGCTGAGGCACCTCTTGCCTTCTCAGTCCACGTGCACAGCACCCCCTAGTGTCTGCAGGACAGGCTGTGTGATCCCGCAGAGGCCCTGCTCTGGATTCGCTAGAATATCTGATGAGCCAGAAGACAACAAAAGGGATTGTATTTTCTCCCAGATTCTTTTCCTACATACACACACAGACAATGTATGTACAAATTTAGCATCGACATTTTAAACCCTAAACTTAGCGATGTGTACAACAGGAGATATGTGCACAGCTGCTGTGTGTTGTATTAGCCAAAAACCTGCCAACAATCCAGGTCTTTGACAAAAAAAAAAAAAAAAGCACTAGTCACACAATGAAATACACTGCAGTGAAATGTGTGACCTAGAAGACATACAGGTATGATCCATTTTTATAAAGCTCAAAACCAAAACTAAACAATATGTTGTTTAGGAATATATAAAACGGGGAAGAGCCCTTGTGGAATAAAAGCAACAGAATAATAAATTCAGGGGCGCCTGGGTGGCTCAGTCGTTAAGCGTCTGCCTTCGGCTCAGGTCATGATCCCAGGGTCCTGGGATCGAGCCCCGCATCGGGCTCCCTGCTCCGCGGGAAGCCTGCTTCTCCCTCTCCCACTCCTCCTGCTTGTGTTCCCTTTCTCGCTGTGTCTCTCTCTGTCAAATAAATAAATAAAATCTTTAAAAAAAAAAAAAGAATAATAAATTCAAAATTCAGAGAGCTATTTGGGGGAGGCAAGCAGAGGCAGGGGGATGAGATGGGGGAAAGCACACAAGTGTGGTTTGATGGTGACATTCTCGCTCCTGGATTGAGTGGTGAGCTCATGGGTGTTCGTGACATTATGCTTTAACACGTGCACACATATATAGATAGACCATATTCATTTGTAGATATATATAAATATATTAAAGATAAATATTAAAACTTTTAGAAGAGAATGAGAAAGAAAAAAACTTTGAAGATATTTTAATATACTTTCACATGTTCTCTCTTTTTTTTGGAAAAAAGAGCTCATGTTATTCATAACGTTCTGTAACATTAAGTGATAAATAGTTAATATTTTGTGATCAACTTTCCATCTTTAAGGATTCTATGTTCATTTTAATAGTTTATAGTATCTACTTATAAGGAACAGTTAATGAAATTAAGGTGCCAGCACATGATAGAATATTATATAGCCATTAAATATTGTATTTATAAATATTTTTAATGATGTCGCTAGATGGCTTGATAAATAGAACAATGACATATAAAGTGTGATTTCAACTATACACAAAAATTCATTGAAAATAAAAAAAGAACAGAATAAGCAGTGGTTATGTCTGGGTCCCGGCATTATAGGTGATTGTTCTCTCCTTCTCATTTTTTTTTTTATATCGTCCAAATCTCTGTTCTGAGGATGTAGTTTTTACAACTAGGAGAAAATTCCATTAAAATACAGAAGAAACGTGACCTCTGAATCAGAGCTCAGCTGGACATTCACAAATAAGGATTTGATCCAAAGGAAAGTCTGGCTAATGGTGTGTGTATACACGTACACACACACACATAGACCTATGCAGTCTGGTGACTCGTGTACACACACACACACGTACACACACACACACACACCCATACAGACCTATGCAGTCTGGTGACTCCACTCACCTGCCCCAGAAACACAGGCACGGCTGTGACCAAAAGCAGAACGTAATGAACAAAACCCACCAGAAGGGAGGGAAGCAAAAACAAAGTCCCACGCTAAAGAACTGCACTGGGAACCTTACAAAATAGAAAAAGAGATCACACACATCTGTTTCATTAATTCAACAGCCTTCTCTGTTAATCTACTTACCGTCTGAAGAAAAGCAGGAAATGCTCTCACAGGAACACTTTTCTGGAAGGACCTAGCCTACAAAGGAAGATAAAAGGAAACTGGTTTCAAATGTAAATATTTCTGGAAATAAACACTCTGCCTCTAAAAATGATCACAAAGCAACACTACAAGTTTAACAGCACAGCTAGGGCCTCTCTCAAAGGGAAGAAAATAGCTCTCTTGCCAATTAAAATTAATTTCTTAAGCCTAAAGGACTCAGGAAAAAGTACTTTAATAAGAATCCCATTCTTTCTTGCAGACTGGCTTTGGCCTTTTCTAGCTGCCTTACAACATCTTACAACTCTGGCCCTGTAGCTCTGTAGCGAGGGGGGAAGGAAGAAATACTTGCACTCACAAGGCCCGGCACCGCCCTAGCTTAGATGGTGGGCATGTCCTGGTTACGTGAACTTAAGAGCCTCCTAACTGATCTCCTGCCTTCATTCTCAACCTTTTGTTCAGTTCACTCAGGCAGCCAAATGAATGTTCTTAGTCACTATTTTATTTTTACTTTCTTTAACTTAACTCTCTGAGATACACCAAGTCTTAGGTCTTCATTTTGGAGTTCCAGGGCCTCCACATCTTGGCTCCAACTTCACCTATTCCACCTAAGTCACTACTACCCTGGACTGTGAAGCCCTGATGCACTCACACTGATGCCCATCATCCTGCACTCACCACGCCCGCTCTTGTCTACAGGTCTTCGTTTTCAGCAATCAGACATTGCCTCTACTTCCTGACACCTTTACAGCCTGCACTCTGGTTTTACCCTCAGCTGTCTACTAAAATTGCTCTTTTCAAGATCATCCAAGATTTACTTAATCACCATACCCTTCTTTTCAACCTCTCTACAGCATGCAAAACTTTAATATTCCCCTTTCTTAGAATTTTCTCCTCCCTTGGTTTCCAAGAGACTGATTCTTAGTGCACCTACTTCTTTGATCACTAATAAATGGCCCTGCTTCCTAATAAATGGCCCTTATTCCTTTGACCTGAGAGGCGGAGGTGGGCCTCGGGTTCTGCCCTCGGTCCTCATGTCTAGATGTACATTCTCCTTGATACCATCCACACTTAGAGCTTTAACCACAGGCTTTCTATGTGGATGACTCCTAAATCTCTATCTCCAGTTCTGACCTCCCTTCAAAGTCACAATCCAGCCATCTTCAATAGCCTGTCTCCCTTAGTGTTCTCGAATCCCCTTAAATTCAGTGATGTCCAACAGCTGGTCCAGAGGCTACTGATCAGCACCAGCACCCCACTGCTTCTTTTCACTGTAGTCTCTGAATGGAACCACCACTACCTAAACTTGAACTCTGCAGCCTTCCCCCTCCCTGATCCTGCCACAACCCAATCTGTCATCGAGTCTAGTTGATTCCACCTCTGTTGTGTGTGTGTGTAAATCTATATACACATCTACCGTCTCTACGTCAGATCTTCTTTCTCTCTGTCCTAAATAAGCCTCCTAACTGATCTCCCATTCCCCAGATTTGTCTCAAACACTGCTGGCCAGGTTCTCCCATGTACAACACGACTGTCCCTGCTCTACTTGATGGTGACAATGAGGAAACATGTCACTTATGATATGCCAGGCACAGTTATGAAGTCTTTATGCATGCTAACCCATTTATCCAAATCACAGCCCTTTGAGTTAGGTACTAATATAACCCTCTTTCCCAGAGGAGGAAACTGAGGCACAGAGGTTAAGATCACATGATTAGTAAACTGCAGAGCTAGGACTGAAAGTGAGGTTCCGGCTCCAGAGTCTGCACTCTCATCTCCCATGCTCCAGTGCCTCTCAAAAGCCTCCCAAACGGGGCACCTGGGTGGCTCAGTCGTTAGGCGTCTGCCTTCGGCTCAGGTCATGGTCCCGGGGTCCTGGGATCGAGCCCCGCATCGGGCTTCCTGCTTGGCGGGAAGCCTGCTTCTCCCTCT